TGCGCCTTTGGCATTTAGTCATGCCAGCCACATGACCACAGAGATGTCTTTGGAAAGCGCTGGTTCTTCAGCTTTGAAGCGGAGATGAGCACCACCCCCTAGAGTCAGAAACCACTAGCACATATGTGTGAGGGGAACCTTTACCTTTATATTGGTATAAGAAGCTACGAGAGCAACAGTGAGCCAAAATCTGTTTTTTTAAAGTGTGCACATAAAGTAATTTCAAGAGACTTCTGGATTTGGCAGAACTTGAACGATTTTATATTCATTAGCATGAATGCTTTTGGATATACCGCCTATATTATGCTATCATAACTCAAGAATAGCATTAAAAAGAAAAATACTCACATTACTAAAGAGGTGCTTGAGATTCTGGATCCTGTCATGATCTGCTGTTTTCAATACTGTGGTATATTTGTCCTTTGTTTTATGGTATTGTTCTTTATATCTCAGCTGCAATAAAAGTGAATTACAGTCAATCTCTTCATACACATTACAGAAAATAAGAAAATAAGGAATAAATTTAAGCAAAGAAGGAGAATGACTCACCTCACTAGCATTGTGACCACTCTGAACGGCAGTTACATAAACTGGAGTGTCCATAACCACACCATAGTTCGGTAAATTGTCCTTCCCTTGTTTTGTGTATTTCAGCTGTAAAATTAAGGCAAAAAAAAAAAAAAAGCAGCCGGGCTTAATTTTTTAGTAATCATGTGTGCACAACCTATGAGATTATGTTTTTGAAGTCCATGTATTATGGAGTCTCTATAATATACAGCACTTGATAGCTTTAAAAAATATTGCAGAGCTATATTTCTATTAAGGCCCTTTTTGGTTTAGAAAAATTAGAAAGGTTTACTTTGTTCCCAGAGAGTGAGATACTATCCTTGCATTTATTTATGCCTGTATTTTTTTCCACAAAGGAAAGTAATTCTATAAATAAAGATGCCTTAACTCAGCTGTGCTCAAGCATAGCAAACCATGACTGTAAGCAAATCATGTTGTCCTGATTCTCACAAAACATTAAATGTAGTGAATCAGGCAGTAAAAGAGTTCAGATCATTCCAAAGGTGCTTTTCCAAAAGGCAACTGGACTTTCTTGGGTTTTTTTTCCCCTTGAAAACATTTTGCTTCCCTTCCAAGAAGCTTCTTCAATTCTAACTGAAGAGTGGGAAATGGAAGGATTTATATTTTTTGCGGTCATCTGGGCATTAGCACTTGAGAGTTTATCTGTATCCTTAGAGACACCTGAAGAGTGCAAAATGATTCATTCTGATTCACAGCAGCTTTCCTGCATTAAAAAAAGTTTCCTAACTGTGCTACCTAATAATCCTCAATGGATCTAGTCACCACAATTTTAAAAAGATGTGGAGACTCTAGAAAGAGTGCAGAGAATGATTAGGAGACTGGAGGCTAAAATATATGAAGAAAGGTTGCAGGAACTGGGTATGTCTAGTCTAATGAGAAGAAGGACTAGAGGTGACATGATNAAATTCAGACAGAAAAGTTAATTAATAGTATATTAATTATTAGTATTTAGCTTCCCAGCTAAATATGATCTGTAATAATTTTCTAAGGAGTTCAACTCTAACTCTAATATAACTATAGCAATATAACACATATAAGTCTTGGCTGACCTAAAATATCTTGGCAACATAAGTCTGTCTCTAAATCCAAAGGAATCAAGGCTTGTAATTTTTCTGCTTTGACTCTTCATCATTTGGAGAAGTAGGAAATGTTTAATAATATAGCTTTTTAAAAATATCTTACATCAATGTTCAGCTTGCCAACTCTTAAGCATCTTGCAGTGTTGGGATCATCCTGGACACCTCTAGGTATAGTGTAGAGTGCTTTAAATTTATCATACTCTTCCCGATATTTCACCTAGTGGCAAAGAAAAGAAAAATAAACCACATAGGAACCATGTCTTATTTCTAAAGCAGATTTATAAATGCATTGTTAGGTATACTTACAATACTGGCATTATATTTCAGCTGTTTAGCACGAACAAAAGGCACAGCATCAGGAGGCAATTTATAAGTGATGGACTTGATTTTCTCCCACAGTTTCTTGTATACATTCTGAAGAAAGGAGAAACAGTTATATCTATAATTGAGACAAAATCTATGAAACAACAGTGTAGAACAGGTAGTCCTCAACTTACAACCAGATTTATATTTTAAATTTTATGTCATACAGTATGCCTTATTTTAATTGTAATGCTTCTGACACGAATAAACCAACTTACAACAACCTTTCACTTAGTGAGCATTTAAAGTTACAATGGCACTGAAAAAAGTGACACGGCCATTTTTCACACTTATGACCGTTGCAGCATTCCCATGGTCATTTAAACACTTGGCAACTGACATGTATTTATGACAGTTGCCAAGTATCCCAGGGACAGGTGATCACCTTCCGACAAGCAATGTCAATGGGGAAGATAGGTCCACTTAACAACCCTGTTACTAACTTAACAACTGCAGTGATTCACTTAGCAACTGTGGCAAGAAAGGTCGTAAAATGGAGCAAAACTCACTTAATGATTGTCTTGCTTACCAAAAGAAATGTTGGCTCAATTGTGGTCGTAAGTCAAGGAATACTTGTAAACGGTAGCACAGTATAGAATATTTTTTGTTCTTTGTATAGAACAAAGGTTTGAATCTTTAGCATTCTTGCCAATGATGGCACAAAGCAAAATTTGTCAGCAATTAACATACAACTCCATATCAATCTTATACAGGATGTAACCCAGAACTACATATTCCTTCACATATAACTTTATCTTCTCTTAATCTTCTTGAGTTGGTTGAAAATGAAAGGAATAACACCCTCTCTCCCATCTATGTTCCATCTTAGATAAGCCAGCCTAAGAGGAAGAGAAGTCAATACTAAGTAATCCTCACATTCTCATTTTGGCTGTTATCTATTGGTATAAGGGGACATGGTGGCTCAGTGGCTAAGACACTGAACTTGTCGATCAGAAAGATCAGCAGTTCGGCGGTTCAAATCTCTAGCGCCACGTAACGGAGTAAGCTCCTGTTACTTGTCCCAGCTTC